TTTAAATTGCCACCATCTCTCCCCACTTTGATGTTGCAACGAAAACTTTCTAGCGGAACTGTCGGCAGAATATCCATCGGATTACTTGAACCTGACAATTTATTTCTAGTACCATTTCCTCGGGAAAATTTTTTGGTAGAAATGCCGCCGGAAATTCCATTGGAGGAAGCCCTATTTCTAGTCATTTGCATTTCGTCTGCTCCTATTATCTCCCTTTCCTCGTATTATTTCCATTGCTCCCGCTCACTACTCCAGTTTGCCTATGGCGTCACTCATGGTTCGCGTCGCCATTCGCCTCTTCGTTATGCTATAGCTGTCTATCGTTGTTCTCCTCTTCTTCTTGGTGTATTGGGTTGTCGTCTTGTCTGCGATTATGTGGTATCTTTCTAAGTTTTTCTCCATTTTATTTTGTTATAGAAATGTACCCCTCAAACTTAAGGGATAGGATGATTGTAAGACCTGTAATGCTTTATGGCATGGAATGATATCGTCTGTCGCTGTCTCGCCTCGCCATTCACCTTAGAAGGTTTGGTCACATAAAACATTGGCCTTCTGATTAGGTCAATTTAGGTATAGTTTGGTAAATCCACAAAAAAGCCCTTAAATGATGAGTTCAATGATAGAAGAATTGCAACTTTTACTTTCATTTGAATTTGTGATGCTAGTTTATATGGACTGTTTGGTTTGGAAGATTTTGGATGTAACTTTTTCAAAGCAGATATTTTAAATATATAGTTGCTTGATAAAAAGAAAATTTTAATTAAGATTTTGAGAATTTGAACTCTTTTTTTTTTCATATTTCAAAATTGATCTTTTTGATTGATTTCAAAAGTTATTGTTAATTGCTATAGTCGCTAGCAACACATCAATGCTATCTTCGATTCACCATAGCCCCTTTGCCTTCATTGCCACATCAATAAACCGCAATCACTGGTCATCACCACCACCTACCTTACAGGTAGAATGATTAAGGGGCTATTTGGTTGGCAATAATCTTAGTGTAATGTAAATCAAATACGTGCATTTTTTCTTTTTACGCATTTGATTTGACAAGGAGTAAAGTAAAATAAAATTCTAAAGTATTTGAAACTCTCCGTCTAAATTTATTTTATGGGTAAAATAAAGCCGCTCAATTCGAGTGAAAAAGGAGTTCACGAGACGCGGGCGAGGGAACCATTGTCATTTCTTCTCCATTTTGTCGTGGCTTCACATCAGATAGAAGCCACAGAAGCTTTGAGGATTGAAAAAAATTTCGCTCCATTCAAGTTTTCTCCTCTTCATTTTCCTCTTCTCCTCCTTCAGTGTTTTCCACAGCTTTTAAGGTGCCAAAGCCTCCTCGGAATCCGAATGCCGATAGAGCTTCCGATAACGATGTGGCAGCCCAGAGCCTTCCCATCTTTATCGAAGTCATTTCCCATCTTTGATTTAGTATAATTCCTACTTAAAATCAGCATAAATCTTGGTCACAATTTATCAATTTGAAAATTGGCCTCTAACTATTTATAATACAGTGATTTTACTTTATCATGTATACACTCAACCAAATAAGAAAAATAATTCCCTTTCAATTGTATGTTTTCCTATTTTATAATTTATTTTTTTATACAAATAATGACTCCAACCAAATATATTTTAAAACTATCAATATTAGTCTCAAGCTTAGATAAAGAATATTGAGCAGGGGTGTAAAGAAGTGGAGTAGAGTCTAGTAGTGGCCTTATCAACTCGGCTCATCAATCTGAATACTGGCTCGAGCTCGAACCGAGCCCAAAAAACGTACTCGAGCATGACTCGTCGTTTAACACCTCGGCTCGAAAGCTCAACTCAAGCTCATGGGAGTCCACTAAGAAAGCACAAAGGGAGAACAAGCGAACAAGTGAATCGGCTTGCCGGTGATGAGCCCATTGGAGGAGAAGAAAAAAAAATAAAAAAAAAAAAAAATTTAGTGACACTCCCGTCGAGACGAGAGATTATTAGGTGTGGAGTGCGGACGGGTAGAACCGTCCGCACATGTACTATATTCAGCTAGGTACCGGCACTCGGTACCGCTGGATACCTAGTGCTTGTGCGGACAATGCACACTCCGCACCTAATAATTTTTCTGTCGGAGACAAGCGAACATGGATGCGTTGAAGAAGTGCAGCAGTAATGTCCAAAAAAAAAAAAGTGCAGCAGCAGGTGCAGATATGACGTGGACAAGCTTTTTTACATTTTTTTAGGAGAAGTGCTGCAATTGGAACATTTTTTAGGGAAAAAAAATCTTTTGGTCGAAAAGCAGCAAGATATATATAATTACTGCATTAAAGTTTTTTTTTTTTTTTAATCCTCCTTAAAATTTTTTTTTTTTTTTTTTTTTAATACTACATTTCAAAACTTTTAAATACAGATAATCTCATAAAAAGAGTGAATTTACTTTTTTATATACATAAATTAATAAATAAGATTATTTTTATTCTTGATTATTTACTTAATAAAGAAAGCTTGAGAGCTCACAAGTCGAGCCTCATTAAGCTCGAGTTTGAGCTCATTTGATAAACGTGCTCATGGCTCGTTAAGTTGGGCTAGCGAGCCCGTTAATGAGTCGAGCTCGAGCAGGCTTGGCTTACTTAAACCCCTGATATTGAGTGTATTTGCGGATGGCGTGCGCGGGCGGGGCGTGGCCGCGTGTCGTCGTGGCCTCGTGGGCATAGCGGGCAGCGGGCAGCGTGCGTGGGTGGGAAATCTGAATTTTTTTAAATTAAACAGGTTTTCGAGTCGACCCGGCAACCCGTCGGGTCAACCCGAACCCGACCTGTTTTACAAACGGGTCGAAATCTCGAACCCGAACCCTAACCGGTTCGTGTTGACCCAAACCCAAAATTTTTTGGTCGGGTTCGGGTCGGGTCAAATGTTGACAGCTCTACTTGAGATGTTACTCTAAGGGGACAAAATTATGAAAGTATAAGCTAAAGCGGATAGTATCTTGATAGTTGAGAATTTGAGTTATTACTTATATAATATATTAGTATTACAACTACCCACATATGGGAATTAAATTTTATAGAGGATTCCTAGTTGAGATAAAGTGCTACGTGGTAGGAACTTGATACATCCTCAAAAATTTATCTTGATCGGGCACGAATCAAGAGGAAAAATTAAGTCGGAAACTTCCAAAATTAAATTTGGGATCATTTGAACTCTGATTTCAGCAAATTTAGAGTCGAATTGAATGTCTCGGAAATACAAACCCAAAGACACCAAATTCGACTCAATCCGAGCTCAAATGTGTCCAAAGTAAGAACGCGAAGCGTTTTTGGAAGGTTTGAACCGCAATTTAGTTTACCAAACAGTTTCTAAATGTGACATGCTTATAGTCGAATGAACCGGCTCGAATAAACAAATCCAACGAGCCTAAGATCATAGAATTTTGACATCATTAAGACCTTCAAATGTCTAACAAAATGTCCACGATCAAATGATTCAATGTCGGCCGTCCATCCAAACCACTCCCCATTTACCATTCATCTTCCACCTATTTATGGGTCATACCACTCTAGAAAATATATATAAATAGACCACTCCTTTCTCTTAAAAGGGGACCCCAAGCAAAAGAGCAAGAGAGATATCAAAGATGGCTCTTGCCCCTTAACTCGTCGACCACCACACAGAGTTTCCCCAGACCATCACCTAAGGCCCAAACTTCTGCTTGACCACCACCTGAGGCCCGGACTTCCACCGAACCACCACCTGAGGCTCAGACTACCACCTGAGGCTCAGACTACCACCTGAGGCTCGGACTTCTACCGGACCACCACCTAAGGCCTGGACTTATACCTGACGACCGGAGGCCCAGACTACTGCCAGACCACCATTATAGGCCCGGACTTCTGCCGGACCACCACATGAGGCCCGAACTTCTGTCATACCACCACCTCAGGCCTGGACTTTTGTCAGACCACCAACTGAGGCCCTGACTTCTACAGGACCATCACCTGACACTACAGGAAAAACTCCAAAAACCGACGGTTTTTTCCGGACTTCTGCCTGATCACCATGTCAAGCCCGGAGTTATGCTGGACCACCACCTGAAGCCCGGACTTTGGCCACACCACCACCTGAAGCCCGAACTTCTACCGGACCACCACCTGAGGCCCAAACTTCTATCAGATCACCACCTGAGCCCTAGAGTTCTGCCAGACCACCATCTAACACTTGGAGTTCCGCTGGACCACCACCTGACGCTCAGAGTTCTACCGGACTACCACTTGCACCCGGAGTTCTATCGGACCACCATCGAACGCCGGACTTGCGTCGGACCACCGCCCGACACTAAAGTTCTGCCAAACCACCGACATGTTACCAACTGAGACCTAAATTTTCAAGTAGCACCGAACTTCTGCCAGTCCACCAAGTGACGCTAGACTTTCATCCCTGTTTGTCACTAAATTTCAACCATACAGTTGGCATTTGTAATTATATGATCGTCCTCAAGGACAAGTCATCCCACTGTAATCTACTTGAATTCTAGTTGAGTCATTTTCAACTAGGTCAGGCCCCATGATTTTTCCCCTTTCTAGGGTTTTCCACCTAAAAAATATTGTGCTCTCTGTGTGTGAGCTAAATATCTGTATAATGTTAAGACATAGGATTAATTATAACTATATCACTGCATATACTCTAGCCCGCAACAGAACTAAATTTTAAACCTGCAGGAGCCACCTCTATAATCTTATATGTCTTGCGGTTATATACAACAACATCAAGCCTTTGTCCCACTACACGCGTAAATGTATATGTATATACTATAGGTTATAATATGTATATGTTAATTTTATGAATATAAAAGACTACTTCTAAATACATAGGTGAGCGAAGACTCCTCGAGACCCCAAGTCCACTCAGCTCTCTCTCTCTCGATCGATCGATCGATCGATAAATCAATGAAAGCATTAACCCAAACGACCATAAAGTCTTCATCTTCTTGCTAACACCATCAGCCACAACCTTTCCTTTAGTGATTAATGGCTGCACTGCCAAGGACTCACACTTCGGACGCCATCGACCACCTCAGCAAAGGATACGAGCACCTGACTCAGCTGCGCGCCCTCCTCTCGTCCTCTCCGGCCAGAACAAACACAGCGGCAACGGCCATCCAGCTCCTGGATAAGGCTCTGCACTGCGTTACCGCCGCCCTCTCCGAGCTCCAAATCAGCTCATCCAGCCATCATGCCTCCTCCATCGAAAACAATATGAATTGTACTGAACCTTGCAAAAGGTATATTCAAAAGTTTATTAATATTTTGCTTTATATTATTTTTTATTGATAGATAATTCTGAATAATTGCAAGACAAAATACTTGTTTTATACATAAAAAATCTCCTCAGTCAGTGATAAATTAGAAAGATTTGTAAGAGGAATTAATTATCTTTATATGTTTGCTTGCTGTAATGAACTAGGAGGAGAGTTCAGCGATGGACAATATTGACCTCGGTGCCACATTTTGATGGATATGAATGGCGTAAGTACGGGGAGAAGAACATACAGGGATATAAGTTTCCTAGGTGAGTAGCCAAGGCTTCCTACTTTTTATTTCTAATGGGTAATATTGATATATCATCAAAAAATTATCTTTACGGGCACAAATCTCAAAGCAAAATCAAGAAGGAAACTTCAAAAATTAAATTCCGGATTATCTGAAGTCCGATTTTGGTAAACTTATAGTCGAACTAAACGTCTTGGAAATATGAACCCAACGACACCAAATTCGACCCAATCCGAACTCAAATTGGTCCAAATCAAAGGCCCAAAGCGCATTCGGAAGGTTCAAACCATAATTTGGATTACCAAATAGTTTTCAAACATTACATGCTTATAGTTGAATAGAGCGGCTCGATGAGACGAATCCAACAAGCCCAAGAACATTGAATTATGATATCATTAAGACATCTAAATGCCCAATAAACGGTCCATAATCAAGGGATTCAACATCAAATGTCCATTCAAATTAACCACTCCCAATTTACCTTTGTTATTCCTCCTATTTATTGGCCATTCCATTCTAAAAAAACTATAAATAGATCCATCTTTTTCTATTAGAAGGGGACCCCAAGAGGGGAGTGAAGGAGGCCCAAGCAAGAAGAGAAAAGAAGGAAGCAAGAAAGAGACTCGTCCTCGATCACGAGGACCGCCGGACTTTCACCCAACAGCCTACCGACGCCGGAGTTCTACCCGAATGCCATCTAATGCCAGAGTTCTGCCCGGCAGCCGACTTATGTAAAACTTCTAGCCTACGCTGGACCTCCGCTCATCGCCGAATTTCTACCCGATGTTGGACTTCTACCCTATGCCGGACTTTCGCCGGACATCTATCTGACGTCAGACTTTTGTCCATCGACAGACTTCTACTCACCGCCGGACTTGCACCTGTCATTGGATTCTTATATGACACCAGACTTCCACCCGTCACGAGATTCCTATCCAATGTTGGACTTCCGGCTGTCTTCGGACGTCAGACTTCCACCCGTCATCGGAATTCCATCGTCAGACTTCTACCCGTCGCCAGACATTCGTCGTACTTCTATCAAATTCGGACTGGGGGGCAACTTTGACTCCAACTGTAGTAAAAAAGATCCTCCAATGCTTTCAACATCAAAATGATATTTTAGAAAAATCCTTATAAATGCAAGGATGCTTCGAATCAGTTATAAGCTATATACAGTCCCTGTTGGACTTCTACTTTTTGGACAATGTCTTAATATTAACCTCAAAAAGGCAGTAACGATCTAAAGACAGACCATTCTTCACCTTTAATTTGGGATACACACGACGTTCGCCCCCTCCCAATCAAGGAAAAATCGATCCCAGAGGGATTCGATTCACACGTTAACGTCATCGAGCAGGGCTCTGACATATAACCTCGGATAGGTCATACATCTTTGGTGGATTCTCTCGACCTCTTTCTTACAGGTTAACATCATCGAGCATGGCTCTACATACAACCTCGGATATGTCATACATCGTTGGTTGATTCTCTCGACCTCTTCCACATAGGTTAATATCATCGAGCAGGGCTCTGACATATAACCTCGGATAGATCATACATCCTTAGTGGATTCTCTTGACCACTTCCACATAGGTTAACGTCATCAAACATGGCTCTGACATACAACCACAGATAGATTTTCTTGACCTCTTCTACATAGGTTAACCTCATCGAGAATGACTCTGATATATAATCTCGAATAGGTCATACATCCTTAGTAAATTATCTCTACCTCTTCCACACATGTTAACGTCATCGATCAAGTCCTTTACATACAATCTCGAATAAGTCATAAATTCTTGGTGGATTCTCTCGACCTCTTCCACATAGGTTAACATTATCAAGAAGGGTTACAACCTCAAATATGTCATACATCCTTGCTGGATTTTCTCGACCTCTTCCACATAGGTTAACATCATCGAGCATTGCTCTGACATACAACCTCAGATAGGTCATACATGTTTGGTAAATTTTCTCGACCTCTTCCAAACAGGTTAACATTATCGAGTAGGGCTCTGGTACAACCTCGGATAGGTCATACATTCTTGGTGGATTATCTTGACCTCTTTCATATATGTTAACATCATTGAGCAATGCTTTGACAAATAACCTCGGATAGGTCATACATCCTTAATGGATTCAAGTGACATCTTCTATATTACACATTAATGCATTTCCTACAACTTCTTCTTCTAAGAAAGATGACAATCTGATCATAATCAGGCCTCCTCTCAGTTAACAATATAAGTGTGTCACTGGATGCCAGACTTCCACCCGTCACCAAAATTCCATCAGACTTCCACCCGTTGTCGGACTTCTGCCCGTCATCAAACATTCGTTATACTTCTATTTGATGTTGGACTTATATGTCTATCGTTGTACTTCTACTTGACGCCGTCCCTCCGACCTCCTTCACCAGAAAACGATCTTTATGACCTCTGTTGCCCGTCGACTATGATCCTTCCGACTTATGTCGCCCACCGACTATAGTCCTCTCAAACTCCGTCATCATATAACAATCTTTATGACCTCCATCGCCTGCCGACTATAGTCCTTCCGACTTACGTCGCCCACCGACTACAGTCCTTCCGACCTCCGTCTCCAAATAACGGTCTTTATGACCTCCATCACCTGCCGACTATGATCCTGCTGACTTACTTGTCCCATCGACTACAATCCTTCCAACCTTCGTCATCAGATAACAGTCTTTATGACCTCTGACACTCGCTTACTACGCTCCTTCCGATTTACATTTCCCACCGACTATAATCTATCTGACCTTCGTCGCCCACCAACTATAGCCCTTCCGACCAAGCGAACATGTCAACAGTGATTCTTCCTATTTCCACCATGTAACACACTCTATTTGATGTATATTTGTTACATAAAGCATGGCCTTCTTTCCAATGAAGTGCCTCATTTGTAATCAACTACAAATAATAGTGATTCATTCAAACTCAGCTAGGCTCCATAATTATTTCCCTTTTCAGAGTTTTCCACGTAAAAATCTTGGTGTCTCTTATAAATGATGCACACTCTTTTTTTATCTAGATTCGTACTGGATCGCTTCGTACAAAGCTAAGACGTTTATATATATATATATATATATATATATATGATAAACTAATGATGAGAAGCCTAATAATTAACTTGAAGAGGGAACCTAATAAGCATTTAGATTTGTTTTTATTAATCATTGCATTTTTAAAAATGTATTGTATGTCCTCCTAAGTACATTCAAAGTCAACTGATATATATACAACTCTCTCTCTCACACTAAAGGAATGCAAGTTTTTCTCGTCACTATGGAAATCAATTGCTATTAGGTGTCACAAATAAATTACAACTGCATATAATCATCATAAATATATACTAAAACTACTTGACGTCGGCGAGTCATGAGGAAAAATCTCTTTATCAAGACAAGTGACTTGAGTAATCCTCAAAACCTCAAACACTAAATAGAAGTAAGAAATAAAATTATTTCTTCGACTTTAGAGAAAATCTTTTGTTTCTCTATCATGGCCTGCATTGTTTATCATATTTGAAGGGAGAGAAACAACAGACGTTTCTTGGCCTAAGTACATTCAAAGTCAACTGATATATATACAACTCTCTCTCTCACACTAAAGGAATGCAAGTTTTTCTCGTCACTATGGAAATCAATTGCTATTAGGTGTCACAAATAAATTACAACTGCATATAATCATCATAAATATATACTAAAACTACTTGACGTCGGCGAGTCATGAGGAAAAATCTCTCTATCAAGACAAGTGACTTGAGTAATCCTCAAAACCTCAAACACTAAATAGAAGTAAGAAATAAAATTATTTCTTCGACTTTAGAGAAAATCTTTTGTTTCTCTATCATGGCCTGCATTGTTTATCATATTTGAAGGGAGAGAAACAACAGACGTTTCTTTAACGCTTGGCTATCCCCTTGGGCGGTTGCTGATGGTATTAAGTCAAATATTAGAGGGAAAGTTAAATCTTGGAAGAATGTTGACCTGCTCAAACATAAATATGCTGGAATTTTTTTATTCTGGAATTAATTGGTGGTTCGTGCGTTCCGAACTGTTTTGCTGGAAGGATTTTGGCTGGGACGATGATGATTAGGGAGCACTGCTGGACTGGCCATCGTGATGGTTTTCTGGCCCCTTGGATGGCCCATGTGCCTGTTTTTGGTTCCGTTTTGCTGGCATGTGGCAACCGGGGCAGTTTTGTTTAGTGGGCGTTATTTACAGCCAGTCTTTGGTATACTAATTTTTGATGTATTTGGTGGTGCTCTCTTTGTTTCCTGAGTCTGAGCTACATAAGTTCTTCTATCAATATAAATACCATCAAAAATAAAACTATCGATCAAAATATCAATATATGTATTTATTCCATATATATATATATATATATACACTACTCATGATCTATACACTCATAACATATATATCGTGCCCATAATTCAAAAGAATAGTTAAAATAACAAAGACATAAACCTGAAGGATCATGGTCAATCTCACACTCTTGCTCTCTTGTTCAGATACGAAATCATTTAATCATATATTATGAGCTCAAGAGTGCAGCAAGTAAATAAATCCTACAACTGAACTCAATGCACGACAAAAAAGCAATTTGCATGTCAACAGTCAAATCATAACATTAACATTTATATGATTATGAATTTGTGCTAAAACAATAAAGCTCATATACAATAGTATAAAATATGTAAACATTAAAACAGTATTGTACAAAAATCAGTAAACCAGTACGATGGAGAAATCAATAAACCAGACATCATATCAGTGTTATCAATCAATGACTCAATCATATAAAGCGATAAAATTACATTATTTGTAAAGAACTATCAAACTTATATCAATAGAGTAAAATCCTCTAACTATGTATGCATGTTACCCAATATGTCTATTCAGTATCAATATAATGAATAGGTATCAAACAGTATCAGTGTTTATATCGATAAAAATAAAATCAGTGGCATGAGCAGTAAAATAATACTATGATA